TTTGACTTTACTTCTCTACCTCACAACGCAAGTCTATGAGTCAGGAAAATCCATGTGAACAATGTATTCCCTGTGGAGAAGACATTATATAACAGTAATGTTTACAGTAAAACATCAGGCCAACAGCTAAATGCACAACTGAAAAAAATTATGTTTTACTTGCAAAATCATTTGTAATTCTGGTAAATCATCATTTGTTGGTGACACCAGGGCCGTGGATAAGGGGGGTACCACTGGTCCTCCTATAAGGGGCCCAGGGCAGCAGGGGGGCCCAGGCAGCTGAGTGAATCAGATGTGTGCAGGGAGGGTGGTCAGCATGGGAGAGGGGGATAAATTACTGGAACCAATCCCCTGTATGGCTCTCTGCAGCAGCTGAAAGTTGGCTTCTTCTCCTCTCCCTTCAGCTGGCTTTCAGCTGCTGCAGAGAGAGAGCCATACAGGGGATCTCTTCCAGTGATTGCCCCTGCCCCCCAGTGCACCCATCACCCTCCTAGTGCACCATATGTTTCCCCCTGCTGCCCAGGTCCCCCTGTATTTCCTCACTCCCCACAGTGCTGCCGACTTCCCTCCTCTCCTTCCCAACCGGCAGCTGCAAGCATACAATACGATCCTTCAGAATGGAGAGTGGGGGAAGGGGTCCGATAAATATGTCACATATACCAGCCCTTTCCATTCCTGAATGAACACAATGAGTGATCAGTACCGATCACTGTTCATTAAAACTGAAGCATAGTAAACTGTTTTAAACTGTTTTTTTTTCTTGGGGGGCCCTATCAGGTTGGCTGTATGGGGCCCCGTGGTTTCTACCAGCACCCTTGGGTGACAAACGCACCTCTGGTAGTCAGTAAGGTCACTCTGCTGCATATATTAGCTGCCTGTTCACTGGACAGAAATAATGATGCTGATTTACTATACAGAGAGGAGGCTGGGGGCCCAATTCTAGGAATATCAAAAATGTTACCCTTGCAATGTAGGTGTATTATTGACTAGGAGGGTACAGTTCTGGCTGTGCTACTTACCTGTCTCCCTGCTCCAGCCAGCTCCAGCACTCTCCTTCTCTGTATTAGGAGGAGGAAGGAGACATTTTCAAAAATAGTTGGGGTTTTTAACAGAATTCTGTTTTAACCACTTCGCCTCTTACACCTGTTCACCCCCTATGGACCAGAACAATTTCTACACTTCTGCTATGGACCTGTTTATTCAGCAATAACGTTGTCGTTACTAAGGATAATAAGGTGACACAAAATAATTTTAAAAAAAAAAAAAAAAACAGCTTTTTGTTTCACAATATCATCTTGCAACAATGATAAAATGCAACAAAACAAAATAAAACACACTTTTTCCTTTTTTGTGGCAATGTTAGTTTTAAAATAAATAGTGCTACTGTACATAAAATGTGTGCATTTTATTCTGTAATTTGTCCTTTTTAAAATGACAGTAAAATAATGATTTTGGTACAAAATTTTGCAGTTAAAGTATATACAAATGAAAATAAATTTTTTTTTTTTTTAATGTTACAGCTTTGTAAATTGGAAATGTGTAAATATATGTTAAATGTGTAAGAATAGTAGCAAACTAAACAAAAAAAGTTTAAATATTAATACTTAATAAAATGAAAAAAGAAAAAAAAATCAGCAGGAAAATATTAGTTGAAGAGAAAAAGAGACTATGGAAAATAAATAGGGCTGATTAGATAAACTGTTATTAAAAGGTTACAGAGAAACATTTTATTAAAAAAAAAAAAAAAAAAATTATTTTTTTTGTCAGGTTGCTTTAAGGTCCTTTTCACATGGGGCGGACCCGTTAGTGGATCCGCAGAGCGTACATGGACACAGCCCGTTGTCCTCCATAAACTGTCAGATTGAAACGGACAGCCTGTCCATTTCCATCCAACTGTCATCTGATCCACCAGACAAATGAGCAACGGATCCCCATCAGTCTGTTTTTAGCAGAAAGGATTATATTGGATGCAGGTGGGTATAAACGGACACGTCCATATACACCTGCAGTTCCATAGAGAGCAGTTGGGTCCACTTGAAAAACAGACAGGCGGACCCGATTGGTCTGCTTCTGTGAAAGGGGCCCAACTGACATCATCTGCAGAACTAAATTCATCCCATTGATCTGCAGATGAATTAACAGAAAAATAAAAATGTAGCAATATGCTACATTGTATTGTCTGAGCAGTGCTATTTATAAACACTGATTCAGACTGCTTTTTTGACAGCTAGAGTTTCCAACTTCTTTGAGTATACTGTAATAATTGCTATGATTAATCACATCCATAAATTACAGTTAACTGGGAGCGGTTCCCCAGAAGCAGGGCAGAGAAACTGGATGTGCTACACACGTCCTGTGTACAGTTTGTTTGGGGTGGGGTGTAGCATGTCCAAAGTCTGCAACTAGTTAAACTGGTTAAACTAGTAAACTGCATCAAATAACAAAAAACATTCCCTGCAACACAATAGCTTAATGTACTAGTATGCATCACATACTAGCACATTATGTAACACTTACCTTAAAACGAAGCCCTCCAGCGGTGCGCTGTCACCATTGTAAAGGCTTCCATCTTCACCTGGTCTTCCTTCCAGGTTCGCGAAGTCCGGCCATCTGACTGACTGAGCCGTGATGATGTCACTCCCGTGCATGCACATGGGAGTCAAGGCACAGTGCTCTGAAGGAAGGAACGGCATGGGTACATTAATGTCATGTCATAATATCCTCCATTCAGTAGACTCAGAACCTTTTTCATTATTTAGTTTTTGTTTATACATCATATTGTACTGAAAAAGAGAACTTACTGCTTTATATAAGTCAAAGATAACTTACAAGGAGATTACAAGGTGAAATAAATGTGATATCAGAATGTTCATCACAAAAAAGAGGAGAAATTTGTTTTATATATTGTGAGGAATATCACATAGATTAGAAAAAAGTATTTATCGAAGTCAAAGACATCAAAAGGATCAGCATCTTCACATCAGAAATGATGGAGGTTAATGTAGACACTACTCAGAAATGAATAACTACTGCTCATAGCTATACTTACATCTCAGAGTACAATAGTATGATGGTCAGAAGAAAGAATGTTCCTTACATCGATGGTCAGGGGGAAGAATGCTCCATAGATTGGTGGTTAGGGGGAAGAATGTTGTTTACATTGCTGGTCGGGGGAAGAATGCTCTTTACATTGGTGGTCGGGTGGTAGAATGCTCCTCACATTGATGGTCAGGGGAAAGAATGCTCCTCACATTGATGGTCAGAGGAAAGAATGCTCCTTACATTGATGGTCAGGGGAAAGAATGCTCCTTACATTGATGGTCAGGGGAAAGAATGCTCCTTACATTGATGGTCAGGGGAAAGAATGCTCCTTACACTGATGGTCAGGGGAAAGAATGCTCTTTACACTGATGGTCAGGGGAAAGAATGCTCTTTACACTGATGGTCAGGGGAAAGAATGCTCCTTACATTGATGGCCAAAGGGAAGAATGCTCCTCACACATTCATTGTCAGAAGAAAGACTGTTCCTTACATTAATGGTCAGGAGAAAGAATAACCCTTACATTGATGGTCAGGGGAAAGAATGCTCCTTAGATTGATGGTCAGGGGGAAGAATTCTCCTCACATTAATGGTCAGGTAGAAGAATTCTCCTTACATTGATGGTAAGGGGGAAGAATGCTTCTTACATTGATGGTAAGGGGGAAGAATGCTTCTTACATTGATGGTAAGAGGGAAGGATATTATTTACATTGGGGTGCAGATCATGTTCCAATAATTTTCTAAAGTGGCAGCCAAACCCTGAAGTGATGTAATACACTTCACTTCCAGGTTTCTTACTTGGTAGGGAAGATCAGTGAACAGGCGTTTGCTGGTCTCCCTCCACTCTACATGGCAGCTCCCACCATGCCAGTCCTGGGTCCGCATATGAGAGTGCAGCATCCAGGGGGAAGGATGAGAGGGTGGGGGTGAAAGGATTAACAAATGTACTGCAGCATTGTGGAAGTGATCAGGGACTACTGGGTCAGTGTGAAAGTGATCAGGGGCGTTGAAGTCAGCTTGTCAGATTTACACACATTCCTGGCTGTAGCAGCTGACAGTGTGTATAAAACTCCCCTGTACTGCCAGAGAATGGGTTAAATGGTTAGTTTACCTATACAAAAAAAAATGTCCTATGCAGTTAAGGGGTGTCGGTAGACAAAAACAAAATGTGCTACTATGAACAATATTGAGTAATGTGCCAGCTATTGCTGTAGGGCATTTTGTCTCTTCGGAAGCCCACCCTAAAAACTCCCAAAGCTGGCATTCTCTTGTCCTGCCCTCTTCATAGGATGTTGCTATGATGCCTTAACTCTCTATCTCCATAATTAAATTAAACCCCCCTACCCCTTCTAACTGATTGCTAGCATTAAAAACTACACTAAATGCCATTCTCACTTACCTTAAGCCACAGCCATATCACATTCCAGCTCCCATTCCTTCTTCTCTTCTGTTTACTTCCTGTGTGACATAGTGGAAAATTACTATTGGCTGACAAGCAGCAGGTTCCTCTCAAGGCCAAAATCAGCCTGAGGGGACTCCAAGGTAAGTTGCAACAGTCTGAACAGAACTGTAGATATTCTGGAGGGTAAGACAAATATGAATATGTATGAGTTTTAACTTATTTTACTTTGTGGTTTGGTTGTAGTTCCACCATACCTCCCTACTTTTAAACTCAAGAATGAAAGACATTTTAGGGTGACATGAACCTCCAGCATGCATAGTGCACTGCTACAAAAATGTGGCCAAAGTTGCATTATGGTGAATATTGAGTCTGACCAGAAACAACAAAAAAAACACAACCTGGCAATTAGCACAAACAAAATTCACGAACTGTACATAATGCAGGACCCCCCCCCCGTATGTAAATATTTGCTTGGAGGTTGAAATAGGTTGAGTGAAATACAGAACTCCTAAACACCAACCAAAACTTTTATAATGTTTTGGATAGTGTGTGGAAGGGTTAGAACCAGGGGCGGACTTGACCATTTGGAAACCCGGGCACTGCCCGAGGGCCCGGGGTCAGTAGGGGGCCCCTTGAGATGCCCCTGGTACCTTTTTCATAGGCTTTTTTGAGTTTGGCAAGGACACAGGGGCCCCATGATCCCCTATTGCCTGGGGGCCCCATGAGTTGTCAGTCTGCCCCTGGTTAGAACCCATGTCAACAGTTTATTTTTAAGCCTGCATTCAGAATGTTAGCAGAGGATATCCCTGGTGACTTCAAAGTATTTTGTCATGCTTTACAGGCATTTTGGATGTGTATCAAACATCAGGCATTTGTTTCTTGGGCTTCGGAAACTAGCAGTCCTAGCTGAGGAGATCTTCAGGCAGAATAACACACAGTGCAAATGCAGGTATCGTTTGTTTACAGGCACGCCCATTGAAGTCTATTAGGTCAAAAATGCCTGAAAAACGAAAAACAAAAACAAAACTCATGCACTTTGTTGTCTGTGTTGGATGGGAAAGATCTTCCCTCACTTCCTGTCTCAAGAAACAACAGAAAGTAAGGGGGGACCTCTCTTAGCCACATGACCACCCAAAGGTGTTACCTCCTTCATGTCCAGGCCATTTTTTGCTATTTAGCACTGCACTAATTTAACTTGTAATTGCGTAGTCATGCAACATTGTACCCAAATCAAATTTATATAATTTTTTTTCACAAAAATAGAACTTTCTTTTGGTGGTACTTGATCACCACTGGGTTTCTTATTTTTTATTAGATAAATGAAAAAAGACCAAACATTTTGAAAATACAATATTTTTCAGTTTTTGCTATAAAATATGTCCAATAAAAAAAAAAATTAAAAATCTAATTTCTTCCTAAATTTAAGCCAAAATGTATTTTGCTACATGTCTACATAATCCCAATAGGTGTATACTGATTGGATTGTTTGAAAGTTATAGTGTCTACAGACTATGGTATATATACTGGATTTTTGTTTAGTTATTTTTTTTATATACTAGTAAAGGTGGTGGTGATCAGCGACTTATGGTGGAACTGTGATAGTGTGTCGGGCAATCTGACACTAACTGACACTGGGAGATACACTAATTTAAATTAATACAGTGATAATACTATACGCTGTCACTGTACTAACGACACTGGCGGAGAAGGGCTTAACAACTCGGGGTAATCAAGGGGTTACTTGTGTGCCTAACAAGTGTTAATGTGTGTAATATGTTCTGATTTTTACTAAATATCTGTACAGAGTCCTGTGTGTTAGTCAACACAGGGCTCTGGGTTGTGATTGGACACGGCCGATCAACAGGTCTCAGCCATGAACCATTGTCTGAAACCTGTTGCCAAAAGTTAGCCAGGGAAGATGGGGGGGGGGGGGGGTCACGCACGCCCTGAAAATGTGGGCAGGAGGCAAGTGGCTAGACAGTTGCCACTGAAAAAAGTGCACCATTGGAAGATTCTACTGTTGCTGTTCAAGGGACAATAAAATTTGGGGTTTCTGTTCACTTTTAATCTCAATGGTCACTAAAAAGTGTGAAGCATCCCAATAGGGACACACATACCAATCAAAACTCAAAAGAGGATATACTGTAAACTGTCTATATCAAACATCACTAAATGATGGACCAGGCAACAGTCCCATCCAGACCAGTGTAGCTGGGCCACTTAGCAGTCTTGGTGCCTTCTCCTGAGTAGCTATCCCCCCCCCCCCCCACCCTCATGACAGAGCAGAGGGTGTGAGATGAAGAAGGTATAGATGGAGGGCGGAAGCTGGATGCAGAGTGGACCTACTGTGCCTTCCACCCTCTGCCCGTTGTGAAAGAAGGTGGGATCTGAGATGGGAGGGGGGTTAATGTAATGGTGGCTGAAGACACTGATATGAAGAGAGGGTTGTGATGTAGAGGTGGGAGGTGGACTTTGAGGATAAGGGGACTGTGAGGTAAAGGGGGCACAGTGAGGAGAAGAAGGGGCTGAGGACACTGATGTAATTATATGACCATGATGCAATTATGTGACCAAGATGTAAAGTAAAGATATTTTCCTCTGTGAATGCAGCTACAGTGCCTTGAAATAGTATTCATACCCCTTGAAATATTGCACATTTTGTCATGTTACAGTCAAAAACATAAATTTATTTTACTGGGATTTTATGTGATAGACCAACACAAAGTGGCACATAATTGTGAAGTCGAAGGAAAATGATAAATGGTTTTATATTTTTTTTACAAATAAATATCTGAAAAGTGTGGCGGGCATTTGTATTCACTCTGATACACATAGCTAAAATCTAGTGGAACCAATTGCCTTCAGAAGTCACCTAATTAGTCAAGGGAGTCCACCTGTGTGTAATTTAATCTAAGTATAAATACAGCTGTTCTGTGAAGCCTTTAGAGGTTGTTAGAGAACATTAGTGAACAAACATCATGAAGGCCAAGGAACACACCAGACAGGTCAGGGATAAAGTTGTGCATAAGTTTAAAGCAGGGTTAGGTTATAAAAAATTTTTCCCAACCTTTGAACATCTCACGGAGCACTGTTCAATCCATCATCTGAAAATGGAAACAGTATGGCACAACTGCAAACCTACCAAGACATGGCTGTCCACCTAAACTGACAGGTCGGGCAAGGAGAGCATTAATCAGAGAAGCAGCCAAGAGGCCCATGGTAACTCTGGAGGAGCTGCAGAGATCCACAGCTCAGGTGGGAGAATCTGTCCACAGGACAACTATTAGTCGTGCACTCCACAAATCTGGCCATTATGGCAGAGTGGCAAAAAGAAAGCCATTTTTGAAAGATAGTCATAAGAAGCCCCATTTGCAGTTTGCGAGAAGCCATGTGGGGGACACAGCAAACATGTGGAAGAAGGTGCTCTGGTCAGATGAGGCCAAAATGTAACTTTTTGGCCTAAAAGCAAAACGTTATGTGTGGCGGAAAACTAACACTGCATATCACCCTGAACACACCATCCCCTCTGTGAAAAATGGTGGTGGCAGCATCATGTTGTGGGGCTGCTTTTCTTTAGCAGGGACAGGGAAGCTGGTCAGAGTTGATGGGAAGATGGATAGAGCCAAATACAGGGCAATCCTAGAAGAAAACCTGTTAGAGTCTGCAAAAGACTTGAGACTGGGGCAGAGGTTCACCTTCCAGCAGGACAACGACCCTAAACATACAGCCAGAGCTACAATAGAATGGTTTAGATCAAAGCATATTAATATGTTAGAATGGCCCAGTCACAGTCCAGACCTAAATCCAACTGAGAATCTGTGGCAAGACTTGAAAATTGCTGTTCACAGACGTTCTCCATCCAATCTGACAAAACTTGAGCTATTTTGCTAAAGAAGAATGGGCAAAAATGTCACTCTGTAGATTTGAAAAGCTCATAGAGACACCCAAAAAGACTTGCAGCTGTAATTGCAGAAAAAGGTGGCTCTAGAAAGAACTGGCTCAGGGGGGTGGAATACAAATGCATGCCACACTTTTCAGATATTTATTTGTAAAAGATTTTGACAACCATTTCTTATTTTCCTTACACTTCACAATTATGTGCCACTTTGTGTTGGTCTATCACATAAAATCCCAATAAATTACATTTACATTTTTGGTTGTAACATGACAAAATGTGGAAAATTTCAAGGAGTATGAATACTTTTTCAAGGCACTGTATTTCCCTGAAGTTCAGATTTATAGCTGAACTTTAGTCAAAATTTATTTTTTTCCCTATAGCTCCAGTCACATCACATAGCTGTAATGAAGTATGCCCCATGTCATGCAGGCTTCTGCTTAGTGTAAAAAACTTCTCTGCAGGGTGCCCAGTCCTCTTCCTGGAGCTAAACGTATAGCACAGTGGGGATTTACAGCTTTGTGTCATCGGGCTGAACTGCATTTAAATGATCTGACAGGGACCCACCCCCTCCTCCCCTATCATCTACTGAGAAAAGCCTGTGTATTGTTAACACTGAATGAACAGGGAGATAACCTCCAACATGGCAGTGTACATGTGGTAGTATGCTGCCATGGATTGGTGTCAGGAAAGGAAAATTATGTTAAGTATTTGATACAATTTTCTGTTTTCCTGGCACCAACATGGCAGCATACTACCACATGTATGCTGCCATGGATTGGAGCCAGGAAAGAAAAATTACAGTAAGTATTTGATACAATTTTCCATTATACATCCAACTCCCCCCATTCAGAGATCAAATTCTAGTCAGTGTTAGCAATGCACAGGCGTTTCTCAATGGATGAGAGAGGAGGAGGGGTCATGTTCTTGTTGAACCATCTTAAATGTTGTTCAGCCAATTAATGGAATTATTCACAGCTGTGGCAGAAGTTCCACGCCAGGAAGCGGACCGAGCACCCTTGAGATATGATTTCTATACTAAGCAACAGATTGTACGACGTAGGACATACTTTATTACAGATAAATAATGTGACTACAACTATAGGGGAAAAGATCATTTTTGCCTAAGCTTTAAAGTAGTTATGAAGCACAAGTTTCCAGACACTTTCTAATATAGATATTACTATGTATGCACCATATTTGCTTAGTTTCAAGACAACAGTTGCAAGCTGCAAGAGGCAGGCTGTGATTGGGCTAACGCTGAAAGCCACTGTCAATCAAAACACGGCAGGGATGGGTAGGGTGCATGGTGGCTTAACAGACTACAGAAGACACATGCAGGCTGTGCATCTGCACAGAGTCCTGTACCTGCAAAGGGCCAGTTCAGAGGCACAAAATGACAATGCAAGCATGGATCAGCTAGCTTTGCACAGTCAGTTTAGAACAAGGTAGAATGGGGACTGGCTGAATCAACCAGGCATATCAGATGGAAAGAGAGCATGAAAAAGTTAGAGTATGATTTTCAATATACATATATGTGAACACACATGTAGGGTAACATACATTTTAAAGTAGTATTAAACCCTCAGCATTTTTTACACTTGTTTACACATCATAAAAACAGGTTGTTAAGCCAGATTTTTACTGTTCCCTGACTGCGCCTCTAAAGCTGCAAAGGCAGCTGGAGTTGTACACATGCTGCGGCCAACCTCCTGTCATGTTCGCCAGGCAGTACCACTGCTGAACATGACCCATTCAAGTAAATGGGACCATACAGTAACCACGTGTAACGAATGTTATGCATGCGGTTGCAATGTGGTGGTGCAGGATTTACAGGGCTAAAAACAATTGATGAACAGTTGACATATGACATCCTCACGGCCAGTGAAATGCCTCTGAAAAATGATCCACTGTGGATAGATTTTCAGAGCAGCAGCATGGTCTGCTGCAAGTTTAAACATCCTATTGCCTATTGCATTAAGTACAATAAAATAAACATTTCCCAG